TGTGCAGGTGAATGAGCCGGTGTTGTTGTAGCTGATCTGGTTGGGTCCTGTGATGGTGTTGCTGGTGTAGATATGTGAGCAGAGTTGGCATCGAGGTTTGTTGCATGGGTTGGTTCCTGAGTTAGAGTTGTTATGGAGCGGTGCATGGTTGCTGGTGAGAATATGCTTAAGGTTGGCAGGTTGTCTGTGGGCAAGGACTGGCCTGCCTCCCAAGGTCTGTGAAAGTGAGGGATCATTGTCCAGGATGGGTTGTAGATCACTGATGATGCGTTGGAGAGGTTTAAGCTGAGGACTGTAGGTGATGGCCAGTGGAGTTCTGTTGGTTTCTCTTTTGGGCCTGTCTTGTAGCAGGAGGCTTCTGGGTACACGTCTGGCTCTGTTGATTTGTTTCTTTATTTCCTTGTGTGGGTATTGTAGTTTTGAGAATGCTTGGTGAAGATCTTGTAGGTGTTGGTCTCTGTCTGAGGGGTTGGAGGAGATGCGATTGTACCTCAGTGCTTGGCTGTAGACGATGGATCGTATGGTGTGACCGGGGTGGAAGCTGGAGGCATTATATATATATATATATGGTGAGTCTTATGGAGTGATGTGACTGTCTGAGAAGTTGTAAATGTTAATTCACCTAGGTTTTGGAACTGATTTGACTTCAGTAAATTTCCTTAATCAGTGTCCCAAAGAGTAATCTAAGATTATTGACCTAAGTTATGAAATAAAAATTAATGTATCCTATTTGAAGACCTCCCCCAGCCCCAGACAGCTTCCATGTGTATTATTGCTGTCTTCCTGGACACCATTCTCTTCCCTCCCCATCACCCACCTCATGCTTTCAATTCTCAGTTTAGAAGCAGATTGTGAGAGTTTGGCATTAAGCTCTTATTCCACATATCTGTCTGTGGAAATTACTACTGCTGGTCAGTGACCATACCAAAGACTGCATTTAAAATCAAAACTTTACCTAGCTTTACTAGAGTAAAACCATAATAAAAATGAAGACCTGGATGGATAAACTTCATTAAATTGTTTTCTCAGTGTCTGCCATATCACTTTCAAAGACTGCATATTGTTTGTGGCATAAAAAGTGTGCCAAGTGCTTTACAGGTAGCTGAGAAGAAGATACTTTATTTTGCAGAGTTTACAAGTAGCACATGGTGGATACTGAGGTGAATTGGAAATCTTAAGATTTATTTTTGGGGCTTCAAAAATGGCTTACCTTTTCATGCTGGAGAAGAGTATTGATGAAATATGAAAGTGATCCAAGTGAATTGTATTAAATATTTGTGAATGTTTTCTACACTTTCAAATATATTGATTTCATTTGTAACACAGAATACAAAGTGTACAGTACTCACTTTATATTTTTATTATAAATATTTGCACTGTAAAAATTGGTAAAAGAAATAGTATTTTTCAATTCACCTCATACAGGTATTGTAGTGCAATCTCTTTATCGTGAAAGTGCAATTTACAAATGTAGATTTTTTTTTTCTTTTGTTACATAACTGCACTCAAAAACAAAACAATGTAAATCTTTAGAGCCTATAAGTCCACTCAGTCCTACATCTTGTTCAGCTAATCACTAAGAAAAACAAGTTTGTTTATATTTGCAGGAGATAATACTGCTCCCTTCTTGTTTACAATGTCACCCGAAAGTGAACAGGTGTTCCCATGGCACTTTTGTAGCCTTACAAGGTATTTACATGCTAGATATGCTAAACATTGGTATGCCCCTTCATGCTTCGACCACCATTTCAGAGGATGTGCTTCCATATTGATGACGCTCGTTTTTTTTTTTTAAAAAAATGCATTAAATAATTGGTGACTGAACTCTGGGGGGAAATTGTCTCCTTCTCTGTTTTTCCTGCATTCTGCCATATATTTCATGTTATAGCAGTCTCGGATGATGACCCAGCACATGTTGTTCGTTTTAAGAACACTTCCTCTGCAGATTTCACAGAATGCAAAGAAGGTACTAATGCGAGATTTCTAAAGATAGCTACAGCACTTGACCCAAGGTTCAAGATCTGATGTGCCTTCCAAAATCTGAGAGGGACGAGGTGTGGAGCATGCTTTCAAAAGTCTTAAAAGAGCAACACTCTTTGATGCAGAAACTATAGAACCCGAACTACCAAAAAACAAAATCAACCTTCTGTTGGTGGTATCTGACTCGGATGAAAATGAACATGTGCCGGGCCGCGCTGCTTTGGATCATTATCAAGCAGAACCCGTCATCAGCATGGACGCATGTCCTTTGGAATGGTGGTTGAAGCATTAAGGGACATGAATCTTTAACGCATCAGGCATGTAAATATCTTGCAACGCCTGCTATAATAGTGCCATGAGAACACCTGTTGTCACTTTCAGGTGACAGTGTAAACAAGAAGCAGGCAACATTATCTCCTGCAAATTGTAACCAACCTTGTTCGTCTGAGCGATTGGCTGAACAAGAAGTAGGACTGAGTGGACTTGCAGGCTCTAAAATTTTACATTGGTGTTTTTTTTATTTTTTTTTTAATGCAGGTTTTTTTGTACCTAATTTTACATTTGTAAGTTCAACTTTCATGATAAAGAGATTGCACTACAGTACTTGTAATAGGGGAATTGAAAAATACTATTTCTTTTGTTTCTTACAGTGTAAATATTTGTAATCAAAAATATAAAGCACATGTGTCAAACTCAAGGCCCGCGGGCCACATCCGGCCCGCCATACAATTATATCCGGCCCGCGAAATCGTTTTATATATCTGTTTTTAATGGCA